CAGGTCCCGATTTTGACGCCTATCTTACGCAGTCTCGCCTCGTAATTATGATCCTCGCGGAACGCCGCGGTGGGTCTGTTGCCTTCGATGGGTCCAAGTGGATGCTGCAAGATTTTCATATCTCTTCCTCTTCCTCTCTACAATCCTGTATCTCTTCGTCCTTCTCGCTACCATTAATTTTTCATATTCCAAGTAAACGATGTAATTGCCTGACACCGTTTTATCATCCGACGAAAGACGATTCCACGGTGGTCCAGAAATTATTTTATAATCCAATTTTCGATGCCGGTACATCTCCCGGTCATCTCACGTGACTCGTCAAGATCTTCCCCGCGTATAATGCCTTGATTATCCTGTACTCTCTTTTGACGATACAAGAAGGAGCCTAATACCTGGACTATACGTACTCACGTATGCTTAGTTATTGCTACTTCGCTTCCGAACATCATTCACGTTGCTTCTATATACGATTCAGATAGATCCAAACGTTTAAAGCTACCGAGTAATGTTTCGTGAAAGTTTGCTCAATATTCTCCAAATTTAACATTAGAAGGAAACAAAAGATATTTATCAGGTTTTATTATTAATTATTGATCAAGAGAATATTTTTAGCCAGGGGTAGATGCTCCGGAGTCCGGACTACGGTAAACCAGCAACGATATGGGTGTTCCTGGAAGAATTGCTACTCATGCCGCGTAATGCACTCGGACCACGCAACCTCCTCCTCCTTCTCCTCCTTCCCCTCCTCCTCCCCTCCATCTGCCCCCTTCGCTCTTCCTTCGCCACTCTTTTCGTTGACTCCCTTCTTGCTGACAGTACGTGCTATCCCGGAGAGATTTATAGGAGACTTATTGCTAGAAGAGAGGGAGAGAGAGAGAGAGAGAGAGAGGGACAGATGATCTCATAAGAACGATAGATGATTGTCACGCTTTGTTTCTGCTGATCGGCTTTCCTTTCTCCTCAGCGAGAACAAAGGGAAACAGGTAGATACAACTGGGCGGCATCGGTAGCATCGGTATCAGCATCAGCAGCAAGGAGTATGCTAATTCAGTGGGTAATAGTCTTGTCGTTGAGAGAGCGAGAAGAGAAGATGCCGGACAGGAGAATGACTTGAGTCCTCGGATGACCAGGTGGTCCAGGTCCACCGGTTGGTTTCTTGTCGGATTCTGGAAAATGACTAAGTAAATTGATATACTGACAAAGTTCGAAAGACGGCAGAACGACGTCCCGGGGATGTGATCGGGATGACCATTGGGCTGTTTGGGCCTTATATGCTCGGATGCCCATGAGCTATTTCTAATATCGTAAAATCATTAATTAGCGGGACGTGGTGTCGAGAGAGGATGGGTCCACTCTGGTACCGGCGTCGAATCTCTATCGAGGGTCCAGCAGCTACCTAGGTGGCCGTCGGCTCCTGGATGCGGCTGATGCTTTTTGTTCGGCATTAATAAGTTGGTTGTTCGTTGGGTCCAGGGTGAGAGAAACGTCATTTGCCGCTCTCCTGCGTATTTGTTCTACCTTTTCTCTCGGCTGCGACTCGCTGTAGCCCGGGATGCTAGTCGCTCGGTCGAGTCATCTTCTATTTTTTTGATCCCGCGTCGTCGTCGCAGCCGACGTCTCAGCTGCTACGGCGACCGTAGTCTCCATAGAAACGTCCGTGAGAGTGGGTTGTGATACTTTTAAATGGAAACGGTATATTCCCGCGAGTCGATAATCGAAGGAGATCAATAGAGAAGATTCCGAGTGTTCCTTCCTTCTATATACTTTTTTTTCTCCTCTCACCTCTTCTTCTTTGAATCGAGGAATCTCGCTGGTTCTTCGTTAACTCGATTAGCTCGCCCGCGCCGGGATTCCCCGAAAACCCATATTTTTTCCTCGAATGAAAAACGCTCGCTGGAGAAATGAAATAATCGAATTGGCCATGGTTCGTCTTCGACGCTGGCGTCGTCGCCGTCAGGTACGGGAACGTCTTTGAATGTATCCGTGTTACGGACCGTGGCATCGCAACAGCGTGGCCAGTGGATGATTGAATAAGCGCGCACGGACAGAGAGACAGAGTGTGCGAGAGAGAGGGAGAGGGAGAAAGACGGAAAGAAGCAAGCAGTGAACGGCTGTGTGTTTTTCGAATTAAAGGGAATCCGATTGTTAGTTTCCCCGGCGGCCCGTCAGTGATTCGCTACGCCACTCACGCTCCCCAACACTGCCACTAGACACACATAGAGACTTCCGTGTGCTTCTGCTTTCTTTTTCTCTCTCTTTCTCTATCACCATTGGCTTTTACGGAAGGGAAAGAAAGCGGCGCGTAGCCGCAGCCAACGATTACGCACTCGGCTCCCTCGGAATTAAGTCATTCCATGCGTGGAGTCAGAAAAAAGTAATGAAGCCCTAGTAGTATAGCTATACCGGTCGAGCAGCGTGAGGAACTTTGGTGGTATAGTCAATATGGATACCATGGGTACCATTGGTAACCACAAGCACCATGGGCACCATGGGCATCATGGGCATCATGGGCACCGTGGCGAACGGGACACGTAAATCTCTTGGTAGTCGGACTGGGGTTCGCCTGGAGGATTATGTCCAGGTTGATCGGACGTGGACGTAGGTGGTCCTGGTCCCATAGTCTGAGGTCTTCAAGAGTATCGTTATTGCTTCATGGACCCATGAAGATGCTGCAAAATTTTATCCCAACCTCAGATACCAGTCAATAGCAAACATTGAACTCGATCGATGACCTCGAGATGGAAGCGCAAACTAGACCAGTGGACGGACGGTCATTCAGCCTGACTTTGGGTAGTTGATCTTGTAAGAGAAAAAGAAAGAAAAAAAAGCAGTATAGAGAATCTCGCGAGGAAACATACCGGCAGGAGGGTGCAGGGACATCGGAGTCCCTTTCTGTTCCCACAGTCCCGAAAGCGGATTCCGCAGAGTCCCGAGGTTCGCGATTCAGCAGGGAATCTCTTGTAACATGCCAAAACAGCGATAATTCGACGGTGTGGTCCGGAACGTCCTCCGATATTCGTTCCCACGCATTGAGGAGCTGGACTACGTTGACCATGGGTGACCATGGTGACCATCAAGAGAACGGGGAGTCTCGCTAAAGGATTCCTGCCATTCCGCACTTCTATCCAGCCAGCGTCTTCGCTGCTCGCGCACCGACCAGACTTCAATCGCAAAAACCATAAATTAGTTGATTTACGCTCGAGCTTTTTATCGGGAATAATTCGAGCCGAGAGAGTTTTCTCGGTCCTGGGAGTCGGATGACCTTTTCTTTCTCGTTGTACATATATCAGCTCTCTTTCTCTTTGCTTGACCCTCTCTTGGTACCACGTGATTTACGCCGTCAGTTTCTTTCGCTTCTTCTGACTTGCTATACCGTATACACGGGGTCCATGGCGCGGAGGGTGGATGACAACTCTCAAGCGGTATCCGTACCGACCATAAAGGGCGGACTCGCTGATGGCCTCGCATCTGATAGAGGCGATGAAAACATTTAGAGGTTATGAGAGCCTCGCGATGATAAAATCAGTACAAGAGGGCCCGCGACACGCGGCGTGTTGTGCTCGATGACACGCGTGCAGCATCCCTGATGCGACCACGTGCACCGGAGTGGCTGTTGGGACCTGGTCCGAATTTCGTATTCCTCCGGCATAGCTCAGCCAGATGGATCCGCTGGAATCTACCCTTCCACGGTGGACCGAGGAACCACCCAGGGAAAATAGGAAGGAAATCAGACGAGGAGGAACCGGGGCTAAGGAGCAGGATGGGGGAGGGCAAGAAATTCAGGAAGACGAGATCAAAGTGGAGGCAGATGATCTCTGGCCCGAGGTGACGAGTGCAGATAGGTCATCCACGAGGGGGACGGGAAAGAAGACCTCAGCTTCTTTTGGTCCTCACGATGGACCCCACTGGCAGGACCCAAGGTTAAGGACGCGCATATACCCCATAGTCCCTATAGTCCTTGCACGCCCCTGTAGGCCGCCTATGATACTAAAACAAATTCTTGCTCCGGGAGGCTCCCAGCATCCCGAGACAAGAATCTCGAGCAGCCGGCCACTTCTCACGGCGGCTTCTTTGATCTCGGCATCTTCTCCCTCGGTCCACGGCCCGGCCCCTCCTAGAAGCCCAACCCTCCACCCCCGGCCAACCCCTAGCGGGCCTACCGGATTCATTCAGTTTTACTATTATTACGCATACCATCACGCGTGCTCGCCGAAAACATTCTGATCCTCTCGGCCCCAGCATCCTCCGGACTAATGGACCCTCACCCTGGGGCAGCATACTCTCTTGACTTCTTTCTCAAGGGACGCCACCACCGTGGACACCATCGAATAATCTGGCGTTTGATAAGCGCATTTATGTCGATCCTTCATTTTTTTTCAGTTTTACCTAATCGATCTCAAATCTGTGTCACAACTTTGGTTAATTGTTTATTTACTCTCATATTATTTTTTCGTTTACTCCATTTCGCATTTTTTTTAACCTTATTCTTTGTCCCTCCAGACTGCACAGGTATGTTCCAAATCTCAAAGCCGAGAGACTGCAATGCCCGGCTCAGCCTTCACCGACGCCGACGCTCAGCGCACTTGGGCGTCGATCGATTTCAGCCAGCGAAGCGTCTAGTGGGAGAACCGCTGTTCCGGTTTTAGGACTATTAGCTCGAACCATGGCAGCGTCACGATGCCTCCTATCCGGAACGCTTGGAAACCCTTTTATCCTGGGATTCCTTGAGGATTCTTAAGGCTTATCATCGCGTGCAGCATTCGCCGCGCTGTGGAGAGACGCCGGAGGGCGTCCCGGCGCAGCCCTCCCACGATATCCCTCATACACGAGTTATGAAGTTGCCCGATGTCCAGTTGCTAAGAATCGAAATTATTTTGTCGCTTCCCGATCTCGGTCCACGAGATGGAAAAATATTGAATCCTCTCAGGACACGACACGCAAAGAAGACGAAGGAAGATGCTGAGACGGTTAAAGAAATAATAAATATTTTTCACGTGCAAATTACTTTATTTCATAGATTTTTGTATATAAATTATGAGGCAATGATCCTATATATATATACATATATAAGCTACGTACTACGTATGTATATATGCACAACATTACAATGACCGTTTTACATAATCAACATAAGGCTGCAGTCCAGCCACGAATAAAACCTGAGGTCCCGGGGACTCTTGTACATTTAAAGACACAGGAAGTTGACCCCCCGAAAGTAACATTTTACTCGTGGACGGACCTGTGTATACCTTCCTCACTGGGTAGCATATAGTCTCATAAAAATCTAAAGTCTATAACGTCATTTAGGATAAAAAAATAATTTAATAATAGACGCTGGGATAATTGGAACTTTGATATTGGAAATTGGGCTTAAGTACGTGTGGCGTTTTAAAGAATCCTTAATTTTCTTTTTTTATAATATTAAGAAGCGATCGGAATTTTTCTGTTTTTTTTTTTGTCACGCATCCTTCCACTATATCGCTACACTATGTACAAATACTTTAAGTCTTTTCTTGCGCAGCTGACCCGAACGCGATGGACAAACCGCTTCAGGGGATGCTGGGCCTTAACCTTATTTACAACCACGTTAAATCACGTTTCCTGCGCGTTCACGTTCCTTGCGTTATAATAAATACATAAAAAAATTCGCAAAAATTCAAAAACGCGCCTCGTCACTCCCTCTCCGTCTCTCCTGGTCTGCTGAACATTAAAGATAATTATTGTAATTATTAATTAGCAAGTCGACGGGTCACTCCGGGACACTAATATTCTCTAATAATCTGTATTTACAAAATTGTCTCGATTCCTTAAAAATAAATTCGATGTGAATTCTTATCAACTAATTATGCGCGTCACTCATCAGTCTTTAGTATGTGTCTCTATGTGTTATAATAAATAGTTTTATCATCTTGCATAATACTGGGCATTAAGAAGGAAAGTTCCAAGGTATCTCCGAACAGCTTCCAATCCTTCTCTTAGAAGAGAAACGAATTCCTCGAGGTCGTCGATGGTCAGAGTTGAAGAGGGTTGAAAAAAAATTCCACCCTGCACCCTCCCGCTTGATTTTTCGAAATTCGTCGAAACAAATGGAAACTTCCCGCACGGCGTCAGGACGTGGCTGGAACCGGAACCGGTTTGACTGATCCCGATTGTCTTCATCATCCCGCTTCGACGCTGCCGACGTCGGCGTCGGCTACTTACAAGCAGGTGTGTATAGTTTTCTTGGTACGACAGAGCTGACACTTGACCTCGCAGCACCAGTGAAAGGTACAGGCGCACCTCTCGACGACGATGACTTCCTGGGTCCTGTACCCGCGACCGCAGCACATCAGGTCGCACCCGTCGACGCCGATGCTGGTGTCGTTGCACTGACGTCCATGAGTACCAAGGATTCCCAGTTTTGGATTCTTGTCGCAAAACGGTGGCGACGGTTCGAGGTAGACCAGATCCTTCAGTCCAGGTGGTTTGTGGTCCGGATTGTACGGTTTCAGTTGAAAATTGTATCGGTGCCTACGAGCCAATCCTTCCCTGTGCCCGTGGACCGAGTTGCTGGCCGAGTTGCTCATTATCGCGTTGCTGTTGCTCCGCACCCTGTCGGAGTTGCTGACCATCACCCTGGAGGCCCCGTCGAAACGATCCTTCAGGTTGTCACCGACTACCCGGAAGTTCGGTAGCCTCATCCAGCAGGTCTTTACCGTGCAGGACCCCGACATCCCGTGACACTTGCACTCCTGCCTCATCTCCGAAGACACGTGCTGCAATACGAAAGTAAACAAATTCAGCAACCATGACGTATCGAACTATCACCCTCGATGAATCGTGTCGCACGTATCATTGCTGATAAGCGATATACGACTTTAAGATGATAAAAGAGAAAGCAATATAAAACTCACAGCTCTTCCTGCCTCGTTGTTGTGCAAATTCATTTTCTCCCGCAAGTTTCTACCGCGTTCGCCAGTGTCGACGAATTCGCGTGAAAACTTGAAGCCGTATCCGATATTGTCCGAGCAGCCACCCCATTCCCAATCTCTGGCACCGGAAGGCGCCCTGGACTGATGCGTGTAGTCGCAGGAGCAGGACTGGATGCTGCCTTCGCTGCAGGCTCTGGCTACGCTGTGCGTCACAGCTGCGCTCGTGACGGCATAGATGAACGCAGTCTCCCTGCAACCTGAAAACGAATTTAAAAATTGATCCAATACGTGTCTCTGCGTCGTTATATAAAACATGTAGAAATAGCCATTGTATACTCCTTTTTTAAGTTTTTAGGTAAAACCATTAAAAAATCTCTTGATTACGCAAGATTATACTTTACGACAGCAGAGCGCAGGCTACTCGGGCCCAGCAGCCTTTGTGTCGCCGACCTGACACCAATTGACCAACAACTGTCCAAAAGATATTCTTTCGACCCAATCCAATTGGTAGTCAAGACTACCGTTCGTGAGATCACTCTGCGTTCCCAAATTTCCAAAATATCTCAAGATCTCGCCAGATACACTTCTTGGCCAGGGATTTAATTCCCAGAGATTACTCTCTCGTAAGCCGACAAAACTTTCACGGTGGTCGTGGCGACGAAGGCGCGTGGGAGGTGACGTCAGAACGTCTCAATCCCTCGGCAGACTACCTGCCTCTTCGTCCTGGACCACTGCCTTCCTCTCTACGCGCGTGTCTGGGCTTAAGTTGTGCCGAGAGAGAACCCGAGTGAACCGCGCAGGTGGAGGGAGCGGATGACCTTAACCCGCACCTCCGTGACCCGAGGACCTCGACCTTATCTGCATGTAAGACGCAGGTGCTCGGCAGCACCTTTGTGGCCGTGCAAGATCAGACGACTATCCCGGGTCCACGCTTGTCCCAGGAGATTCCAGGGACGCGAGTCCCGTGCCGAATGCTGGTATTTTTCGAAAAGTCAAAGATGAATCAGGTGGATGTTGACTTGGTCCAGGGTAGAGAAACTCAAGAAAGCAGAGCGAACGACGCCAAAGGGATGATTCTCCTCGGTTGAGGTTCAGGTCCGTTTATGGAATTCAATGTAAGTCGTGGAATCGGGCAAAAGTAAGACGTCAAAAGCTTCCTTTTACGTATAGCCATCCGAAGATGATCGAGTGTAACCAATTTCGAGACAAGATCCAAATTCGTCACGAGTCTTTGCAACGTACGCTGGGTCTTAGGACCCATCCAGTTGGGCCTCTCGCTCCAGGAGCAGAACAGAGGGAGGATCGTTTTCCCTAATCCCTGAATATGGAATAGAGAGGACAACCCCAAGCAGCCAACAAACGGAAGCAAAAATTCCGTAGCTACGGGGTGGCAAGAGAGCCTTAAGATTTACACCGTTCCAGCCGGTTACCGAGTAGACGGTCATCTCCCTGCGTGCACAAGCTATCCCCTAAATTTGATTGGTTCCAGATATTATTTGTCATCATCTCGGACTACCGTGACCGAGCGGCTTACGAGGGAGCCAAGATGTCACTGGGTTTAACGCCGAAAGCAAAAACGTGTCACCCGTTAGAAAACACGGCCGGGCCTTTAAAAAGTTGTATGGCTGCGTAGGATCCCGACCCTCCGCCTCGTTCGGGGTCTGAACAAGGATGAAAAAAGAAGAAAGAAAAAAACATACCAGCATCCGTCATTTTGTTTTCACTTATTCTTTTCTGGATCTTCGTCCTCTCTCTCTCTCTCTCTCACCTTCCCTTCTCGTCCTACCTTCGAGAACTAAGGTGAACTCATCTCGACCCCCTTTTCCGTGAGATTTCGTAATTCGAAGAACGTCAAATACCGGTCGGTCAATAACGCTCTGGCACCGGGTAAGTCAGTACCGTTTTACGATAATCAAACACGAGATAAGAGACTCGCGACGTGGAATCGTTATCGAGCCTACCCGAGCCTATGGGAAAAACTTGAAGAAATGCTGCTCAATAATCCGATGTTTGAGCTCCGCATTCTACCACCTTATTCCTGGGACAATAAATGGTTCTGCCTATCAGCGTTCAAACAGCCGAGCGAAAGGTGTAACGTGGGTAACGTGACCGAGAACAAACAGTTGCCAAGAGGATTCAAAGTCCCAAGGATTCCACTTTGCTCTTGTACATTGTGGCGAGCAAGTCCCACCACCGAGACCAGTGGTCCCGGAACAGGTGCGTGCTCTAATGAAATGAGGTCAAGTAAAAAGAAATAATAATAACAATAAAAATCTGACTATACTTTTGAAGCATTCCATAGAATCGGTAGAGCCGTGCAGTCCCGTTCTCAGAGCCACTGGGATAGGTAGAAAACGTTAAAGTCCCCAAGAGATCGCCCTGAGCGACATCAGCGGGAACTTTACGAGAGGCATTTACGTCCAGCTGAAATTCCGCAAAGATAAAATCATGGGAAATTATTGCTACTGCGACTTCTCGACGACAGCGTCGTCCACCTTGTCGCTTGATTGTCCTCGGTGAGGTTGACTCGAGGTTCACTGAGCCTGAAACAGGCTCCGGCCGGTGAGGTCGGACCTCCAAGAGATGATTCAGTCCTATGCAGTATAAAAGCTTTCACGTGCTTTCACGTGCTTTCACGTTGGTATCCCCGGCCGAGCGGCAATCGTAAAGAGACTCTCTCAGAGGCCTCTCGGAGTGATCGTGAAGTTTTGAGCGGGACATTACAGCCATATAGGCCGTGGAAGGACTTGTGCCCGCGAGGGAACCAAACAAGATGTAAAAATCACAGGAAACCCGCTTGAATCGCGGCTCACGTTTTCGCAAGAAACCGTGGCGTGCCGTCGACACATGTAGCCCATCATAGGCCGCGATTTATAGCGGCGTAACGCCATCGCAAAAACAGGCAACCTCCATATAAGTCACGTCTTATGCGCGGAGTCGGGACGAGTATTGATTGAATTTATCCTATAAATGGCCGATTATGTCTGGAACGTACGCGACGCGGATCGAACGAAAATATCCGGAGCGCGCGACCGTGCCTTTAATGAAGACGTGATTAGAAATGGCAACGAGTTCATTTCCCGTGTCTTTGCGAACGCGGCGAGCCGTCAGTGTTGCCAATATCGCGAATCCTTTGAATTTACAGACAGTCGTCTTCATCGATTTGGTCTATTACCCCATTTTCATGGATCTTCATAAAAATTACACGTGTCGTACGATCCCGCTCGAAATTCCTAACCTAACCTAATTCATTCGCATGATCGTCCTCGTATCTTATAAGTGAATCGCTGGCGATCGGAATCGCGATGGTTTCGCAATTCCGCGGCACCTTCTTCGATCGTTTCTACGATCGGACGCTGATCGACTTACAATTCGCCCTGGAGACTCCAGCAAAGGACTTTCCTAACTCGCCTCTTGGCGTCTTGGCGCACTAATTAGGCCGAAGGTCACGCGTAGGTACTGTATATCTATCAGGGGAGAGAGAGAGAGAGAGGGAAAGAGAGAGAGAGGGAACGAGAAGAGGTAGGAGCCGCAAGGGAGGATCAAGAGAGAAAGAAATATTTTCTGCGCGGTAGGTGGCTCTTGGCGGCGAAATGATTACAGGCTGTGAACGCACTCACTACCAGCTATAATATCGAGTACAAACAACCTCAAAAGTTTTCGAGATCAAGAGGATTTTCTGATTCGCTTGAAAATAGAAAAAAAAGAAAAGTCCACGCGTTGCATATAAGGACCATGGTACAACCTCATAATCCGGAAATGACCGTTTAGAAAAGGCGTGTTACCGGTGCCTCGACAATGGCTTCGTAAAAGTCTCTAAACCGATTTAATCTCCACAGGGTGGCTCTGCGCGTCGAAAGCATTACAAATCCTTGATAACGATCTGCATCGGCGACGATCAGATTGCGTCCAGGAGTACAGTACGGCTCTAGAGATCCAGAGGCGATCGAGTTCTTGATGAAGAAGCTGTGGTGAGGGGTGATAAAGGGGGGTGGGAGAGAGAGACCCTTGGGAGACGCCACGCAGGGAGGCCGTTGACAAATCGACGCCAAGGAAGAATTAATGGAGAGCAAGCGAGGCTAATTGTCTTTGCGGCTGACAAAACAGCGGAATCCTATTTTGTTAATGACACCCGTTAGCCCGACGATCAGTCAACTTGTCGACACTTTCGAATGGACTGGCACGTATATACATATATACACGTATATATATATATATGACAAAGCACAAGGACTACCGTATGCATTTCTGCCGATCTAGGTAATAATTGGTACACGATAAAGCGGAGGCTGCGCTGGACCAGAAGTAATAAATGCAGGAAAGCACTGGCCGTGAAGTACACGCATACACAGACCGTAAAATAACGTGTAGCCTTTTTTACTAAGTGGCCATATGGGGACGTATGACATAATGGGCCGCCAGGAAAAAAGCTCGGCTTACAATCGGAGAGAGAAGATCTAAAAGAGCCGCAGGGGAGCCAAGCGGGCACGAGGGGTCCATTATCAGGTTGCAAAACATACATCTGGCCGGTTCGGGCACGCGCCCGGGGCCCTCGAACCGAAGGCACGCCCCTTTCTACTGGGCTCTTCTACTCTCCTTTCGCCCCTCCTGCCCCTCCTGCCCCTCCTGCCCTTCCAGCATCGCTGCTACCCTTCGTAGCGAACGACCCTACGCAGCCTCTCTGCCACGCACTGATACCGAAACGAAGACGAGCCCCGGACAAAACCCTTTCACTTTAATCCTCATTCGAATGATAATGGAGCTTGGACGTCCTGGGCATCCTGGACCACGTGCACAATGACTGCTTTACAATTTACAACGGTCGCACGGACTCCCGAAAGCGGGGACCTGGCAATGGGCCTTGTTGGTTACGTTGGTAGTAGGCGATGTTGATTGTTGACGCCTAGCGCCGCCGCCAACGCCGCCGCCGTCGCTGGCGTCGGTTGCGTCGTCGCGCCAAGGCACCAAGCGCTGGCACGACGAGAGAGACTCTCGTGAAATGTAAATAAATCAGCTGACACGTTTCCATCCACCCTCTTGGAAGGCCCCCCCTTCGTATCCCCCCTTTTCGGACGCTTTGCATTTTTACGATACCCCCACGATTATTTACGAGCTTTTAATATCGCAGAGCGAACGCGACCGCCCCGAGCCGAATAAAAAGTGGAGAAAGCACGTCAGGAAAGGTTTACGAAGGTCCCCGTCCACTTCTCCGTAGGACTGGGACGATTGCCAGTTGCGATCGAGATCCCGATCTCGATCCGATCAACAATTTGTCGTGAGCCTCGAGGGACGTCGATTTTGTCTGCACGTTCGGTTGCTCCTTTTGGCCTGCGAAGACCAAGCGCCTTAAAGGAATCGACGCAAGAAGCGGTCCGTTTTCACTCGCAGCGCGAACGAGAACGTCTCGCGCCAATCGCAGAAAGACAACGCACCGACTACCGACTTGGCTCAACTGGACCCTGAGCAATAATCACGAAGATTTAATCTCACGCGAGAAGAGACTCACCTCGGTCCACGATCTTTCCAAAGAGATTTTTCCCCCGGAGAAAATTCTTCGTCGAACAATTCCACCTGCGATTTCGAAATTGATGTTGGCACTCCATTATCGCCTGATTGGCACCCCTGGCCACTGCCATGAGCACCCCTGGATTCTCTCTGGCCAGTCTTCTCTGCTTTCGTCTTAGGGTAGCGTAGACGGCTGGGTCCATGTGTGGAGATGCTGGCGACATCGGCAACAAATTGTTTGGCTCTCCGGCTTTCGCTATTCCCCTGAAAGTAAACACGTATATTGATTACCGATACTGGATCTATGAGCTATCGCTAAGAGAGACATTTATTGATCGCAATCGATCAGCCGTGACCTCGCTCTATATCGATCTCCCCGGATAGTCGTGAGAACTTTTGACTGTTTGATCTTCATCAGCTTTTCAAGGAAGTCCTCTCTGACTAGTCTCTTGGGATCTTTCGATCACTTGGGTCATTTATTACCCACGAGTCGTTCGATCCGGCTGCTTCCAGCACGGAATCATTGAATCGGCCGTGAAGAGGGTGTCTCGGAGAATCGAAGGGGAGCCAAAGGATTAGCTTTAGCAAAACTGGTCCAAGTTCGGAGTAGCTACCGTATAAATCAGGGTGCGCGAGTACTCGTTCACTCTGGTTGATGGCGAAGAAAAAGAAAAAAGAAAAAAGAATGCACACTCGATCCCCATGGAGCCATTGCGTATGGGAGAAAAAGAGTCGCGCAGCAAGTCCCTCGGGAATATTCGAAATAGCTCACGCTTTGTAAACAACTAGGAGATAGAATCTTTCATCCGAAGAAGTGTCATGCGGCATAATAAACAGTTAATCACTGTCACGTCTCGCTGTGATGACGTAGTCCCCCGAAGATGAGTGCGAGAGACGAGATGGAAGGAAAGCTTAAGAAGTTCGAGAAGCCAGGGAAGAATTTGAAAGAGCGTACGAGGGGAGAAAATTTCGAGGGATCGGAGAAACCGTGAAGTAGGGAATGTCGAGGATGGAGAACCGGAGATGAGAAGATGCTGCGACTCCTTCTCCTTTTTATGCATCACTCCTTTCTTTCTTTATGGAGTTGTTATATTTTTTATGGTTTGCCGCATCGTACCTCACTCCTCCATCCTCATGGGGGAGCGATCTCTTGGATCTCTTGGATCGTATGGATCGTATGGATCGTATGGATCGGTGGGATCGAAGGGCTAAGGGCGAGGGAGTCTCTAAGCTGTGTAAAATCCGCGAGCAACCACGCGGGGTTAGACGTTGTACGGCTTATACATGGCTTATACGATGCATTCAATAAGTGATGTCCATAAATAAAGCGTGCTCTGGACCGGTTAGGATATTGCTTGTAATTTACGTCGAGCAGAAAATCTCAGCGACGCTCAACTTGGGATTTCGTCCAATATCGAAATGTCCAATGATCCATGGATCCATTTGACTCGCCGCACGGGATCCATTAGCTCCTCGAACCTACCCGAAGGAATCGTTAGAGGCTAATAGAGACGGGCGTGAGGTCTGCCCGGGGTTCAGCCTTTCAGGCTTGAGGTTTGAGGTTGGAAACTAATCGAGCGGCAAATAAGGACGCGTTTCCATCGATCGGTCTTCGATTGCCCGAGTCGATATTACTTATTAGCGCACTTCATCTTGTACCTCTATATTGGTTTATTTCTTTATTTCAATCTATTCGTATAAGCAGATGAGAATTTATTGCTGACCACAAACCGCAAATTCTCAGCAGGATTTACTCTCCGGAGTGCGTGAGATCCGACTGATGAAAAATAAAAGTCTATCAGTGACCGAGGGAGATCAGATCTGATTCATTACTATCCTGATTCATTAGGATTACTCAGAAATTCAAGGACTCGATGATGTTGAGTTACAGTGGGATAAAGCTCATTTTGTCGACGGAAATATTGCGCGGCTGTCGACATTCGTAAATAATAGTCTTACGGATCCTGAGCGTCGCGACGTTTTTGGTCACTTTCTTCGCACCTGGTATAACACGTGAGTGTATGCTAATGCCGATACGGGACTCGCTCTATGAGACTCTTCGCACTCTTGCTTTCTACCAAGGAATCCCACTACCGAAACAAGTCATCTTTTTCGGAGAATATTCGAAAAATAATTGAGAATTCCAAAGGTGCCCGTCTCGAAAACATTTCACCAACGAAATCTTTTACTTTCTTCTACCTTGCTTGTCTCTTATTATCGTCTCTGACTCTATGCTCGCACTGTTCACTCTTGGGCCGCACTAACCGAGTGGCTCCCGCTTCCGGAGAGTTCAACGAGCTACTGGACTTGGTTTTTGGCTATTCGAAGAAGTTTGATAAAAAAATTGAAAATTTGTAAAAAAAATATTACGATTATAATTTTTACTGTTTTACTTGAGATCCAATACGGAAATGATACTAAAGAAAAAGAGTGTAAAGTGGATATTAATGTTATACAGAGATAATTTAATCATCGAGATAACCTGTTGCAAGTTACCCAGTTAAAGGTACAGCAGTTAACTGTGTCGCCAAGATTAATTCTACAGTCGTGAAAACAATCAGCAAACGCCAACGAGCGATTCGAATGATTGATCGAGCGATCGACGAGCGACGACCGGCGTCGAGTTAACGGTTATCGTATCGAGATGAAATTACTCACCACCACATGGATCCTCTGCCTCTGTTTTTGTTCCTGGTGATCTCGGCGGGTAAAGCCGGTACGGCCACCGCCAAAGCACCCAGCATCATCCACAGTCTCATCTTTCCTCTTCTCTCCTCTCCTGCCTCTTCCACTTCTCTGTATTCGCAGCGTCTTTGCGCAAAGTCCCGTGCACCGTTCACCAAACACTCGCGCCCGTTCGATCCACGGTCATCGAAGGCCAAAGGTCAAAGCAACATATCACTAGGGGTTTACCAGGTTGAAGCACACATGTCGCGAGAGGGATGAATCCGCAAGGGCAATTTAACCCGGGTACGACGTACGAAGTGGAGCACCAGGGTCAAGTTCGTGGTAAGATCGTTCCCAAGAAAAATAAAAAAAAAATAAAAAAACTAGGGAAAACCAATAAAAAGTACAGCGATGACCCGCGACCTCCTAGGTCCAGCAAGATGGATCAGACTTAGGAGGTGTCGCGATGAAGTGTCAGTGAAGTGTCTCGGGTTCCAGTTCGTCCGAGTGGCTGTCGGGTGACTGTAGGCTTGGTCGCCTTCGGCGTAGAAACTCACCCCCGTGGACGAGGGTGTTACCCTTGGACCTTTCTCGAGTGGTGGGAGAGTGTGGGCTGCCGCCAACCCCCAGGTAGCCGGTCTAGGTGGTTGGATGGTTGGGTAGCTAGGTAGACAAGGAGAGATCGGTAGGCAGCTAGGTAGCCGAACGAATGAATCCAGTGAGGATCGTATCGAGGAACCTTCGGATCCGAGTTCCCGTCGTCCTCTCGAAGTTCCTCTCTCGAACGCGACCAATACCCTTCACCGAACAAGTATAGGCCTCGGCTAGCGACTGCACGCGTTCCTCCGCGGAAGAGCCGATCTCGGGCGCCCCATCCCCCCACTGGGTTCCCCGGTAGCCCCCCAACGCCGATTAAATCTTGGACCGCCTCTCGGTCCAGCCTCTCTCTTCCTCTCGCTCTACCCCGCTGACCCTCTCCCTCTCGCGGCACACTCCTCTTCCTCTTCCACGTGAAATTGTTCACTCTCCTCCAGCCGGCACCTCGTAAACTGTCTCCGTTACAGCATCACTCGCTTCTTCAACAGGTATCGCACTTCGGGAGCGAAGCCTTCTCAATGGACCCAGCATCCTCTTCGTCCCCTGTTCCTGAATCCCAGGCAGAGCCTCGAGTTTCAGACACGAGAGGGTCTTTGACAATCACTTAAGAGACACGTTGGTCCAGATTGAGGAAGATTAGCAATCTTTAAAATTGTATACCTCTCTCAGATTCACAGTGTAAGATGATCGGATGCTCTTGACACTCCTGACACTCGGAGCACGTGGTTTCCAAGGGGAAGTTGTGGGCGGACCTTTATTCTGCCACGCCTCGAGGAGCCCCCACCTCGACCGCTTCTCGCGTACGAAGCTTTTCTTCTCGATTCCACTCTCTGTCTCCTTCTCTTCTCTCCCTCGCCCTCGCTCAATTCTTCTTCTTCCTTCTCTCTTTCTCTCTCGCGCCCACCTAGACTCCCGGCTTCGTCCTTCTCTCAGGTACCCTCGGTTCACGAGAATGCATGTATCAAAGCGAGACGAGGATGCCTGCACCTAGGTGCGCTATGTCTTGGGAGCATCAGACGTATGGGAACGTATCTATACGTGCACAGTTATGGAGTCCAGGTCTTCCCAGGCTCCAGACTTCTGGACGATTCAATTTTATAGACTTTAACGTGAATTTGTTCTTCCACAAAGACACAAGCTCGCCATTGCTTTAGTCACCCTTATGGCCGGTACACACTATTCTTCTCGTCTGTTCAGAACTGGTCTGAGCCTTGGTACCGCTTCGGGGCCTCGCTAAGCCTGGTGCACAACTAATTTCGCGCAATGACTCCAATTACCTTTTTACAGAGGACCCATTTATTTAAGAGGACCGCTTTATGGGCCGCGACAGAGACGCCAGTATTTGTCGGACGCTTCGGTTTATCCTCAGCAAACAAAATCCAAGCCAATTACACCTGGAATGTCCGGCTGGTATCTCGAACAGGTGTCCGTTGCTGCCCGCGCAACTGCATCTGAAAAGTATATACTTGTACACATAGCTGCTTGTTTCAGGAGTCCAGGAGATGAATCTTTTCTTAGCATCAATAGGTATTTCTTGTTGATTTATCAAATTGCTCTTAGGGATTTTAACAATTTCAATCATTTTACCTTGCCATTTTTTTCTATCATTCATTTTGCAACCGGTTCTGCTAGACCGGCAGCTGATTTGCTCGAACGTTATATTCGAGGGGTCTGTCGCTTCCGCAGTCGACGGTTCGGCATCCGAAAAATGGACCAAAATAGAGATGCATCCGTATTAGGATGCACGCGTTGTATGGGGATGCACCCGTTGCACTCTGCGCACGTGGCTTTTAGCAGCGATGCCCGTATAGATGACCGGACGGTAATTCAGCAGCTGTCAAGATTTCAGTTTGCTTCTGTCAGTGTGCCAGGCTAAGCTCAAAAGCAGACTGATGGTCTGGCGAGTGTTCATTCGAGAGACGCAGATTACGTGGCAGTCCAATGGAAAGCTCTTGGGCAGACGACGAGAACCCTTGGCGAAGTGGACTCGCTGGGATTCCCGATAACCCTCTATTCCTTTCCACGCCTAGGATCACTTTGTGCTGATAATTAAAAGAGAGATAATTAAAGCATTTAGAATTAGAAGGGCTCGGCCGATACCTAACCTTTAATTTGCGATTCTTTACGTTGGAATTTATTTGTTAGGGTTCTAAACGTCTCTACTGTACCTCTGATTATTTACGGTGGTTGAGGTAAGACAACTCGGCTGGGAATTCAAGGTGATCGAGAAGGATGCTGTAGATGGACCACACACGCTCGCAAAATGGTTTCCAAGTAGCACAAAGGAATTTCCAAAGGATCCTTTCGGCAAATCATACTTGAGGGATGTTGCAATCTTGGAAACCTCCAGGAAAGAATTTTCAAAAAAGTATATCTTGGCAGTTTCAAAATTAACACAGTAATAAAAAAAAAAAGAGATTCTAGGTGATAACGATCTCCGTCCGGAAGCTGATCGGGAGTGATACAATTGTTGGAAAAATCTTGCAACACCGGTCGTTTTTTTTCGTTCGTACTTTCGTCGCCGTATTCCTTTGAATTTTAACCTGGAAAAGAGAAAGATGGAAATATAAGTATTCTGATCTTTTGCAATTGGCCACCCTGTCCAGGTCACCGTGACGAATTTTATAAGCTGCTGAAAAGGTGCTGAGGTCAGAAGAGACCACCGTGATGAGTATACTGACTTTTTCTTGGAACTAGCAAAGTTTTGACTTTTTTTTTTAAATTCCGCAATTAGTAGATATAAAATAATAAAAAAATTTTAATCTCATTTCTCTCAAGTGAAAAGTAAATCAGATCCATCCTTTTTAAATAAAAATATTATCCAAAGCTGTATAAGATACACGAGCCTGTCGTAACTACGAGAGCGGCAAGAAGAGGAGGCTGCTAGGTCGGCAGATGAAGTAGCTCGTAAATCGAACGCGCGTCCTACAGATGAATAGGTGTAAATGAAGATGCGGCGGCATTCGGGGCCTCCTGGACCACCGCAGTGTTAACTCCTATAAGCGCCTGGACGTTTCCTCCCACAAGGACCACACCGGGAAATGCCGTCGCCGGTGCCTACCGACGTGTCTGATAACAATGGCAGAGGGACCGAAATTTCGGAATCGCACCTCAGGTTTTTTTTTCAATGGCGCCGCAACCACGCCCTTCGAATCCTTTGAACCAACTGGCAGGACCTCGCACGTAGCTGTAAGGACGATTGCGTAACGGAGTGCACGTGGTCCATCAGGCGCAGCTATCAGAATAATTGTGTATCTCCGTGTTCGAGTAAAGAGTCTTCTGGTATAAATATTTTAAAAGGGCACCGGTCCTTCTTCGTACGGCCCTGAGGGGTCCTCCTTCCAAGATCTTCTATCGAACTTGGCGACACTATCGATGACAGGTGCAGATCCTCTTGATCCCCAGATCTTCGGCATCCATTGAACCTCAGGAGCCTCTAAGAGTGCCAGCAGGGTAGAGACACCCTATCCCGAGGCTTGCTGTCCGGGGGTTCGAAGCCCCAGGATATTAGTAATATAGGTTAACACTCATCCTCATTAACTAACCGAATAAACTGACACAAAGGCTGCGAGATTCATTTATCTCGGATGAGCCTCTCCAAGGGGTAGATCGTAAGCCAACCCCCGATTCTTCAGTACATTCAATCTAAAACCTGAAGAAATTACTCAGGAACTGTTGGTCGGCGTGAAACAACGGGCAGCTAACGTGACGTCTTTTATGGGTTCAAAGGGTGGCCCTTTCTTCTTGCAGGGACCAGAAAAAATGTCTCCCAACTTCTCAATGGAGACGCTCCCAGACGCTCATCGACGCTTATCGAGCGTCCCCCAAGCGTGGAATTCCAGAGTGATGGGATTTCGCAGGACTTTGACTGTGCATGGGCACCAGAGGTTCGGAGTCCCCTACATGGATACTGGACCGTGACAGTGTGCTTGTGGAAGCACGGGACACCTTAAAAATTTGAGGGCGGGGTGCGAACACGTCGGGGACATCAAAGCTAAGAGGTAATTATTGTTTCTCGATGCCAGTCGAGCGGATCCAACCACGGTGGCGCCATGAGGCGCTGGTCGACCGTTCTCACCCTCCTCTTCGCCTCCCCTCGCCACCCAACGACTCCATCGCCCTCGCTCTTTCGCCAAGGAACAAACTCGTCCACCCTTAATTAAGAGAGCGCCATTGGCTTCGAGTGAATTTTCCATGGCCCAGCATCCGAGAAGACGTCATCCCTTGACTGGGCAGACGGGGGTTGTCAGTGAGGATTGGCAAGAGGGGAAGGAAAGCCAGGTGAAAAAAAATATAAGATAAAGACGAGAGATGATCCTCGTAGCCACCGGAGGAGCTCAGTCCTAGAGTCCATGATGCCCCATCAGTGTAGCCCAGTACCATGGCGTTTCTCGATGAAGTGATTCGCCACGGGCCCCCGAGAGTTAGTCCCAAGATTTTCGGGCCATTACTTCCACCCCGTCTGGACTTAATAAATACGTTTTCGCCGCGAGCGTGTGACTCGAGACACCATAGGCCTTCGCCGAGGTCCCCATAACTTACCTGGAGCTGCTATGGTTCTAGGGTAAGGCTGAGACCTACGTCCCCATGAACACCACCCACGGGGCTACACGCCGAATTATCCCCTCTGTTATGGCTAAACATTTATGTATTTATTACTGTACAAACGGCCAGGCACAATGCCATTCAGCCGTGATCAATACGTATTACGGCCGGGAACCGTAAGAGCCCAGGAGAGCCAATGAGAAAAGGACAAGAGAATGGGAAAAGCCCAGAGTACAGGAAACTCATGGAACCAAAGGGAACTGACAATGAGCGAAGTAAGCGAATTAGGCAAACTAAGTGCTTTTTTCACTATTCATCAGTGAACGACTGTTTTTCATACTTCAAGAGGGTCTCCTACCACGTCCCGCAGAGAGAGTCTCTAATTGTTCCAAGTCCTGGCACGGTGCATCGGACTACGTAATGTTTTCATTAGATCAAGATCGTTATCTGGCCAACTGAACAAACGAGCCAATGGACCAGTGCCATGGACGGGCATAACCCATAACCCACGTATTAAGACGAATGGTCCGAAGTGACTGGTAATTAATTACTTCCCCCCAGTGTTACAAATATTAATTAATCCCACTGCTCTGACCTCGAGTTCATAGGTCGTATAACTTGGGCTTATGGTGGTTCTCTTACGCTGCAGTTGGTAGATCATTCCCCGAACCAGAATGATCTCGGCTGGGTCACCTGTTCAGGGAATCATTCCTGGCGCGGCTTCTCACACACTCCCATCATTAATTATCCTATACATAAAGCTAACGCCACGTCATAACACTCCTTTCCACGTACGGGCCGGGACTCCCTGATAATCATGATAATAACAATATAATAATAATAACAGTAACGGCAATCAATACCACCAACAGACTACACCAGAACAATCGATAGATCGAAAGTCGATCGTACAGATCCGGAACAGATCGAACGCACGAAATATTAATTTCCTGTCTCTCATTTTTTTCTCACGATACGAATCCCGCAAGACGAAGAAAGACGGAAGATACGTAATGTCATAAAGGTAAACGGAAACGAGGGTTGCCAAGTGGACCAAGAAAGAAAAATCTTGTCTCTCTATAAATCTGAAGAGCTGTCAAGCGGTCGTCGATCTTCGCTCGAGAATTCCAAGTTCCGTTCTGCATTCTTCGCGCAGTTCGGCGCGTTAATACGAATTCGATGGTTCGTTTTATCGAGCAAGATGACGTATGGCCGAACGCGATCAGACTTCCGATTGGCAATGGACCAGTCAGCAGAGATAAAGACGAGGCTTGAATTTTTTCGTCATTTCGTCAGTTCGGGTGGAATTTTTGTTACGAATTTTCTTCTGTACATCGATATATCTGTATTTACGTAACTGGTCGTTCGTTCAGTCTCGCAATTCCACTGTTGAACGTGTCAATCGATCTTGAGGACTTTTCGTCCTTAGTTTCTTCTTAGTTCTTAGTTCCTATTTTTGCCGGTAGGAGTATATAGGTATAAATTTTCTTTTTTTCTTTCCTGCATCCACCTCTCGCCCTCCACTCTTCCTGGACAATATAGCAAAAGAAAATAACGGATGTTGGTCTTGTATTTAATAAATGGCCGTGCCAGGAACGTAGATCATCGTGTCACGGAGTCAGGAACGCAAAGGATCAACGCGGACGTGCTGGCTAAGCGCTGGGCCCGGACTCCTCTTAATTGCTCCGATTAATTAGCCACCACGGTTTACTAGCGCTAATGGGGCCCATGTTTCTTCTTGCCGTGGATAGTTGGTCAGAGATACGTTTTAATAATGCCACATAATTACGTGCTCCGTACCGAAATCTTTCGTAACGGTGACGGCGCGCTGCATCTTACGAGGTGAAATCGTTTGACCTTCGATCTTTCATTTCGAATATGATTACTAATTGATTTTGCGATTAAATTTTATTTATATATTGGTACCGTATCGATTGGTACAGTCGGTTCAGGAAACGTGGTCTGATCTTCATTTCGTTTGTCTATGAGATCAAGTTAATTAACGAGCTTTAGTTACTTGCTGAACTTGGCTGGTAGATACCGATCGAGCGATCCTCACAATCACGTAGATCCCGATCTTGCAATAAAGATCGATTAGCGGTTTAAGTAAAATCAATCGATATCGACGGAGGATCGATCAAAATCATTGTTTCAAGGATATAATCAAATTCACATTGATTTATCTGATAGTCGAAAAAGAAAACATTTGAAAAGTCTTCGCGATCGTCAAGAATCAGAGTGAAAAAGAAAGGATAATACAGAAGTAGAAATATCCAAGTTATTTCCGGGGACAATTTCCAAGACGCTAATTACACGGCTGTCAATCGAAGTAGCCATTTACGAAAACCACAAATGATTCAGCGCGAGCGATTTGCCCAAATGATTCCTGGAAGGCACATCGGAAGGCAATGAACTCGATATATCTTATAGGACGTAGAAGGCAAAGATAATTCGCAGATCAAGTGATCGGATCTATTCGATCCATGAGATCGAAGAAGTCGTCGGTCTCGCGTAATAATACCAGCGTGATGGTCAAGTGAATCCAGCGAGAGAGAATAGCTACCAGCAGAGAGAAACCGGATTCTCGTTAATTAGTAGCGGCGATATCCGAGAATGAATCGAGTAAAGGCTGCAGCGCGCGCACCATGATTCCTCCGGTTTATTTCGACGGGGATGAAGCACATCGCGTGGTCAGGGTCCGACTGGCTGGTGTCCCTCAGGGTTGAATCTTGAAGGCTGCCCATGGCGAGTATTGCCCATATTGATGGTGGCGTACGCGCGCACCCCGCGGAGCCCTAATGGATCGATCGTGGGTGGCTTCGATCTAGGGATCACGAGCATGAGGATTCACGAGAAATTATCCCAGCGAAAGAACTATGAATCGGTACCCTTTGCCCCTGGGTACCCCTTGCCTACCTTCCAGTCGCTATAGATATAGCTGACTCTGTACATAGTATATATCCTGACCTGGTCCCTGCCTTGGTCTACCTCAGCTCCCTTCATCCGGATTGACCCTCTTCTCGAGGAAGACGCTTTACGACGGTTTACGATCCTCCTCGACGTAGTCCTGGAATTGACAGCCGGATCCTCAGGCGAAACGGCCGATGCGCAACAGAGTCCTGGACCTTGGTCAGGGAGGAGGAGATCAGAGGAACATTAGAGGACCAGACAAAAGATTTCTTTCTCTCGTGCAAATTGGACAAAATGAAGGGGACCATCTGGGTATTGACCACCCGCGAGAATTAGGGACTGACTACTGAAATGCGTGAAAAATCAGAAATGCCTCACCTAGCGCACCCAAAGAACAAATAGGTGGCTGTCTGCGGCTTAAACCTCCATGGAATTCGGACGTTCCCAAACCGCGTTACAACGTAGTTGTGACTCGTGGCCACCCGTGAGTCGCTGGGACACCTTCTGAGCTGCAGAATCACTGATGGGGTCCAGTCGCTAAGTACGTTAACCATGCAACTTTTTATTTATACGAATAACGCCTTTTTTTTTAGTTTACTCAAAAATCTCTTACAAGGTCTCTCTCCTCTCGATGCACCTTCTTCTTTCGCTTCGATGATTTGACTAGTGTCGTCAGCTTTGTGAACGCTTCGAACAGCCGAACAAGCGTTTCCATGAGAAGAGCAAAGCTCGGAGCCGTTTAAAAAGAGGCCGATTTTCAGGATCATCGAGCCGTGCGCAGATCTAGCTTGTAAAGCGATCCGTAAAGTAGCGGCTCTCAGTTAAAAGGTTGCTAATTCTTCAGAGATGGCTCCCCTGACAATGATCCTTCGAATGGGTACAGATACCTGAAAAATACTGAATGCTGAGTAACAAGGGCGAGTGATGATTAAAAAAATGGAGAATATACTTGGAAAAAAAAAATTCTAAATGGCAACTTTCCAAATTATTTTGCGTTTATCCACTGACTCTGTAAAATGGCTTTTTTCGAATTCCTGCTATATTCTCAGTCCGTTACAATTGGATAATTTAAATCCTTACGAAAGAGACGCTGACATCGAGACTGTCAAGCTGAATCGCTGCGAAGGCCAAAAGTCCAGAATTCCGAATTAGCCACCCCCGGTGGCTTCCATTGAGACGTCCTTCCCGCAGATGAGCTACTCCACCCCTGGTACAAAAGCCCACAAATATTGTTGAATTTGTCATAGACAGGTGAGGGATACCAATCGTGAGTGGATGACCGGATACATGGTCGTTAGACTCTAGGAAAAGTTCGATCCCAAGCTGAGAATGGTGACACTATGCCACCCCATGTTACACTAAGCTTTACTATGGGACATTATGGGACACTATGGCCCACTATTGGACCCCCCGTCGGGGCTACCTGAGGGCTGAAACTCTATAATGTTGTCATCCTGTCTATCCCATAGCAATGGTGCAGGCGGTTAAAAAAGAATCCATTGATGCGGTTCCAGGACGCTCGCCCTCATTCTCTTTCACCGGAGCGAGCCTTGCGCCGAGGAAGTTCGCAACTGCTATGCAAATATGAAAGCGGGTCGAGAATAGAAAGAGGAAAAAAATAAGAGAACAAAGAGAGTAAAGAAAAAGAAAGGCGTATTGAAATAAAGTAGAGCCTATCGCGGGGCACCGCATTCCAGATGCGCTGTAACCAATTTGTGAGCCGGACGATAGTGACAAATACACGATATTGCCATAACATATCGTCGGGGCGGACTATCGTCCGAATTAATAGTCACCGGTTCTGACTAATAGCCTCATTAATTAACGATCCACAGGGCTGATTAGGCTAATCCGGCTTAATTTAGTGATCGGAGCGGCGCTCCTATGCCTACCTACGTCCCGGGCCGAAAGGCCAGATTCATAGGACGATAGCTCGCTTGCGGCAACAAACCGGCGCAACTAAAACAGCCAGCAACATGACGATCGGTATGGTAGCGCGAGGATGGCCTAACGTGATCTGACGTCTCGAAATCGACCGAGAATAAAGGCTAATATGGTGGTAGCTGTCTGACCTCGTCCCGATCTACTTTGTATCTTCATCAGGTTATGGGGATCTTGGGATTAAAAAAAAAGAAGAAGCACGGAATCACGAAAGTTTTTAAGACCCTGCACCACTTTGCCAGGTCGCAAGGAGAATCTAGTGGTGAAACGGAAGGAGCAGTAAAATAATAAAAATGGTGGATGGAAGAAGAGAGCAGGCCAAGAGTCTGTGTTGGGATAGAGTCGGAAGGTGGACGCAGGCTGAAACCTTAAAGGTGGAATAGACAACGTCTCGAAGACGGGCGCACTTGAAAATGCGCCAGAGCTTACTGGGCCGAGTGTTTAAGCGGTTGTATAAATAGAATACAACGCCGTTCAAACAACGGCTAAAAGGTTTGAGTTGTAACGCGCTCGAACGCTTCGCATATAGGCAAACAGATCGGGACCTCGCGCGATCGGTCCTTCCACTCTTGAGGGTCGCTTATTTCTGAGCCATTTAACGTCTCTTCCATTTGACATGTGACATTTGACATTTTTGTCAAACCTGTCAGCCAGAGGATCGACCGGAGGGAAGCTGCGACCTCGTGACGTTTGAGCTTTTTTTTCAACAGTATTTAAGCCGATGGTCCAGATGATGCTGGTCGTTGAGAATCGAACGCTGGACCGAACGGTGAGTATTTCCTGTCCGAAGCAAATTATCCGTCGAGCGGCATCCATTATCCTTTAATTGGATGAAGATGCATATCCTTTTGTCCCAACGTCACTTGGCTCGGGGAGTGGTAGGTATTAGCCTGCTCGAGGAGGAGTCGGAAGATGAGCCAAAGGACGAGCGTCGATCTCCACGTCTCCTCCGTTCTTTCATTCCTCAAGCCATATTCGCTCCTGATCTTCTTTTCGTCCGCTCGTCCCACCAGGTCGCGGGATTGCATTTAATTGTTTTGCCGTAGAGATAATTGGGGGAGCAGCGCTGACGCGGTCCTCACTGATTGCCCGGTACGATGACTTATGCTTTAGCGGCGCAACCACAGCATCACTGTGGACCGAAAGCATAAGTGCTCCATTGTTGTAGGACATCGGAGCGCACAAGGCCGATGGCGCCCGTTAAGTAAGGGTTAATCGGTGGCCCCTGCCTCCGGTCCACTTCGGCCCTCAATGGCTTCTCTCCCCCTGGAACCGTCAGGGAGCTGCGCATTCTTTCTCATGACGTTCATCATACTCGCTCCCATCCTCTTCTTATCTGTAATATAATTATATTATAATTTAACATCTTTCGCAATCTTGAAATCGCGATCATTTTATGATTTTTTTAAAAAAATTATCAACTACCGTCAATGCTTTCACACGATGTTCCAGACGCGTTATCCTTTTGCGTGTTGTGACAACATTTCGTAATCGTCTGCTGGAATATAAATTCCGTGAATCACGAGAGCGTGAGATCTCTCGATTAAACGATTCGACGATCAGACGAGAAGCAGCGCTGAGATATCGCTTCGAGTTACATACCTAGATGGGTTTTATAAGACAGAGATCAGTATTAATCGCGATCCTTCCTAAGCGGTTCGTTAGAACTCCCATGATGTTCTGAATTTTCGAAATACTTTCAATCTGCATTTTGCCCACTTTTTTATTATTCTTATTATACAAGCCTACTTTGACCTGGGCGTTATTTACACGTGTATATGGTTTTCGTCAGGAAACAAGTTTCACATTTGAGATTACAACAGCTCGGAAACATTTTGCATTTACATCTTTTAGAAATTCGTACATCTCTCGTCAGGAAGCCACGACCGCAACAGAGAGTCGAACAGTTCATTTCGCCCGAGCATTCCCGTCCGTGTGTCAATTTACAGAAATTAGGCGAAGCCGCAGCATACACGAGCCTACGTCGTGGCATTTTCTTTTTCTTCGAACTTTCCTCAAGAGATTCGACTCTGGCAGCAATTGGATATCTGAAAGAATACCTAAAAGTTATTATCAAACATTAAATCAGCCCTTATCGCTCCACGGAGTCAAGTGTTAAATAAATTAACCATCAAACCTCTCGCGCAAAAATTTGGCAGGTTTTTCAAATTGCACCAGACGTCTCTTGCAGGACTTGATGCTACAGCTACCCGAGACTCCGTGACACTGACAGCTGTCCTCGAATTCGGCGACAACCTGGAAATACATCACCATCCAATATTAAGACTCCGTAGGTCCCCCTTAGCAGCAGGTAGGGCCACGGGAAACGACTTGGAGCGGAAGATTCCTAAATCGGGATAGACGACGCGGCTCGAATTACCGTGAATGAATCGATTTGCCTAAATAAATAAAGTGGTTATAAACGCATGCGTGGTTTCGTGCGTGGCCCCAGCCACCCTGCATTAGCATCGCTATCGAGAGCCATCGCCCGTGTGATTGCTTAATCTTGTAACCACTGAAAGCTGCCCGCCGTGGGAACGACTGCGCGATACAGTCGATACATCCGATACACCCGTTACACTCGCGAGCCCATCCCTCCCCCCCTGTCCATCCCCACCCTTTTAACCCCTGGACCTCTAACCTGTACGCTGGGTACCCTCACGTCAGGACCCTCGAAGGGGATAAATTTGAATCTGTCGTCTGTTGTACTTGAACAGATTTTTTTTTGAAGTCGAGCAGAATTTTGAAAATGCAAGGAAATCCTGTCGCTGATTGCGGATACAATTTGAACAGGACGAAGATGAGGTTGGGTTCCATGTTGCTGTAAAATTGTCAATATTTGACACCCTCGGACATTCCTAAATCCAAGGCTGTCGGGGTATGAGGATGCAGCAGGCACAAGTGCAGTGCAAATAAGAGAAGGTGGAAACTGCCGCGCCATTTTCAGGAAGAACTTAAATGAAACATCCGATAAGACTGTGCAGGTAGAGCAATCGTTACCTGAAGTCCGAGTTGAGCATTGTGAGCCATCAGGACGTCTTCCAGAGGACGTTTCGTTTTGTTAACTTTTCTCTTCCTTCTGGGTAATCCAAGAATCCTGTGCGCCATTCGCCGTCCAAAATGCAGATCGTCGCTCTGCGAATGCACCACCAGTTGCTTATCGAAGTATGTGAAATTTTCAGATAGACTTTTCCGACATACGCTGAACCTTTCATTACCGCAAGCACGGGTCAGCGTCTGGACCAGTGATGCTGCTACGAATGCAGTGACCATTGCCGTCTCCCTGGATACTGCGAATAAATTTTGCTTTTAATTTTATAAATTATTTTAATGCACGTACCGAAATAAATATGGACTTACCTATTTGAAATAATCTATGATTGATCGTACAGTTCCATCTCGTGTATCTGAAGTGATCCTGACAGTGCTCGAGACTCAGCGAAATGGCTTCCTCCAGGACGTCCGTCAGGTTGACTTCTCTGGCACAAAGATTCCGCAGACGCTTTGGACAGGAGCCGTTTCTAGTGGCTACGAGATTCCGCACGCTCGATAGGATCGTTGACTCGAGACTGAAAGTAAAGCACAGAAAGACATGCTTATCCTCGTGAGTATCGAAGTTCAAACCGCTTCCGGAACAAATAAGCCCGAAACTAAGCTAAGATGGTAGATGGTGATTCGGTGCCATTACAGTTCCGAAACGACAATTTACACGTGTCAAAGGAATCCTTGCTTTACTTTGACCCACCCCTCCCGCACACTTCACCAGCATTTTGTTTTACAACTGCCATGTATCTGATAATATTTGACTTTAACATTGGATACGAGGTGTGTCGGTTTGTTCCTGCGTCGCGACGCTACGAGTCAATCTCAAACAGAATACACTTCCTATTCTTCGGTGAAACTTTCCTACAAGAAATCCTACTGGCACGACCAACACCACTGCCAACACCACAAAGACCATCAGCACCTTCCAGGCTTATCTTAATTCTCAAACAAAAGAGTGTGACACGTTTGTTATCTGATGTCAACGTTGCTACGTCACGGTGTCATCCCCTGGAAAAGGCTAAATGTCCATCAGGATAGCTTCTGTTATTCTTTCAACCCCTAACGTCATTATGGCCTTTGTCGATTTTCAAAACTCCCGCCGAGTCACTGTGGGAACTTTTTAATCTTTTAAGATTTTACAATGATCGGTTTAGACTGCGCGCGCGCCATGCGAACTTTTCTTTTTATTCCTAAATTCTTTCCTCGGCCGAAACCAGTGATCACTGATAAGAATCTCGGCTCGAAATTTTTTAAGAGGTTAATTCTACTCCCTAGTCTTCTTCGTTTATTCACTTACCCGCCGTACTTGCCGCCTATCCAGTTCAACAATAGCAGAAACAACAGGACGATCATGTGTCGAGCCAGCATGGCGGAAATTAATTTTCTTCTGAGCTACGTACCTCGGCTTATACTTATACTATTCGCTTATTTCGTCTTTTGACACGATCTTACGGATCGGAGGGTTTAGCGAAGACTGATCCGTTTTCCGGAAACGTGAAACACATTCGCTCATGGTAAATGACAATCTTTAAACGAGTTAAGATAGGACAGGCGACACCTTAAAATTTACTTAGATTACGTAAACAGTCGTTTCTTGCTAAATCTTTGCAAATGCACTTTTTCTTTTCTTCCTGGTAACACTCCACTTGCAGAGTTCTCTACACTTTATCGGTTTTACATTATGATGTTGTTTAGTATACAAGAAATAATTGATTTTCTTCAATTCCATTTCAATTATCACTCTAACGCAAAGCTCGCTCTTCTAGTTAATGATAAAAGATAATTAAAAGCACTTATTTGATAGAAATTTGTAATGATCAGGCGACACTGTACAGTAGAGCCATCTGAAGGTAGCTGCTAAAGCTGTACAGTGATTCAAAAATACAGCTGATACAAACAAATAAAGTATGCAATTGTCACAGTTGTTTACCTTGTTGGTTGTTGGTTGTTGGTTGTGTTATGTGACGTCGATGGTTTATCTTAATAAAGTATAGTCGTAGAATCGTTGGTAGAACTCTCGACTGAAGATAAAAGGACAAGACACTCCGGAATGTTCCGTTCGCCCGAGTCTGACGTGAATGCTGCCATCTGTGAGTTGAAGTAGCTATTACTACGTCAACCAGAATAAACTGAACTCAGTCGTTGCTTGAGGTATCGGTAAATCGATATCTTAACACACTCCAAGCTTTCGAAACTCGATATTCGGCTACAACTTTGAAACTGTTCTTACCAAAAGAACAATCACAGCTTCACATATAAAAATTAGCCTGACATGTGTCAGCTCTTCTTCAATGGAGCACAGTTCATCAAAGTTAACGAAGTAATAGCCGCTTTAGTTCATAGGTGGCAGCATTCTTTATGATGCGTCAGTGCATCAGATTTCGCGGCACGAAGTACACGGGAATGTCGCGTCTATTTATCTTCGTTCAACACCAGAATAGTAAAAAGCGCATTCATTGTATCAGTCTTTACCACACATGAAATCTTATCATTTCACGTCTACCAATCAAGACCGGATGCTCATTTTAACACAATTGGTTTAATCGGTTTTAAATCAGTGTTAACATGTTTAACATTTCACGATACATAATAACCAACCATCTGAATGACTATTAAATCATAGTTAAATAAAATTTGATCTCATTTAGAGCTAAAAGTAAAAAGTGGAGTGCGGAGAAGTAAAACGTTTGCCATGTGAGGTTAGATTCAACGTGTAATGAAATCGTCCCGCGAGTGAGTCTAACGAGGGCAAACACCTCTCGTGGAATCCTTGGCCTAAGAGGATCTTTAACCGGAGCCAGACGGCGCGACGCTATTAGACACTAGAACCCCATGCCATACATAACGGCAACCCCCTGCACCGATAAAGTCAAGTTTACTCAACTACTCAACCCCCATGGGTCAAATAGCTTTTAAAAAAGAAAGTGAAACGAGGACGATTCGAAAAATCTCTACAATCGTCAGACCAACCTACGCAGTAAGCATTTTTGAACGTTTTTCTTTTTAACAAAATTAGAATTATATAAATTTCACGTAATAAAACCCCACACAAGGTTCACACATAATTTTCCTCTCTTAACAGGGTCATCGATCCTCAGATTCTCCGGTCTATAACCACATCTCCCTTCTTGAGAAAAGTGCAACTCGTTCCCTCATAGACACTCCTCTTCAATCCTTCTTACTCTCCATCTCCCTCTCTCTCTTTCTCTCTCACAAAATTTTCTCCACACCAATCGTGCCTTTAATAGTGAATCCAGTGCTGCACCTAAAGTCCCGATGAAAAACAACGTGCGGAGGACCGAGAGTAAATGGTACGTGAGAAAGGGACGGCATACGAACGATCGTGCGAATCGCGCTGGACTTTCCCTTGTGGCGCGAAGAGAAAGCAACGCGGAGGGGTTGGACGCCTCATCCACAGAGATCAATACCGGCACGTAAACCGCCTATGAGCCTTTTGGGCGAGCAGTGCTCTCGCGCCGCGGCCACGCACCAGACCCATCAGACCCACCAGACCCACCAGACACCTAATAACACACGGGGGACGTACGCGACGGTGTGTGGTGCCAGCTCGTCCTTACCCATCGTTAATCGCCTCGACAACTCCTCTGGAGAAGCGATGCCAGTAGAAGCTGCTGTTCGTCCGAGGAGATACTGTCGGAGAGAGTTCTTTCATATATTTGCAAACACCCGACCGCTCTTAATCGTACTCAGATTGTGAGTTGATCCAGAGAATAAATTAATCCTGAAGACAAATATTCTGCGTATGCTGGTCACATCGGATGGGGAGTGGCTGTGATCATTGTTGATTCTCTTGTAACGATAAATTCGTATGCAATGACAGCAGTTGGCTGTACGCATGTGACTATGGCTTAACGTGCATTCCTTTCTTTTCTGTAACTCATATTCTCTAAATAGTCAACTAATCTAAGCCGATGCTAGTCGCGCTGGGCATCCTAACAATGCGACACTTGTTTTATGCTTGAAATATTTTTCGGCCGGCGGTGCAATTCTGAAAGTTAGGCTATACGCCACATGTGATTCGTTGGAAGTTACTGGAGGACCATCTTCGTCGGGGAGACTCGGGACGGGATTTCACAGCGAGCCAGTTCGTCACAGGGTGAGTCAAACTGAGTTAATGCTTCCTAATCTCTCCTATTCATATAATCGGAATGATGAATTTGGTATTAATTGGTACAAGCAAACAAGACTCCACGCTCTTGACTTGGTTCTTTGGCATATCGTTGTTAGTTTATCAGATTACTGCTAATTCGCGTGTAACTATATCATATCACATCGTATTCAAGTGATCGGTCTCGAATAGACTGACAGGAGATTCCGGAATTTTAGAAAATTTACGAAATCATTGTTAGAAAATTGTAGAAAAATGCATTTTTTTTTCAAATTCAAAAATTTGATATTTTTTTAATCTTTGCAATTATTCGTATCACACGCCAAGGAATAAAATTGAAAGGAGACAAATTCAAGTACACGTGACTCATATCGATATCAGTAATACAAACGTCTTTGTATACAGTTTGATAAGATCTGAGAGTACCGCAAGTTTAACCCTAGAAAGATACCCTGGGGTCTTTTGTATCCAAGCAGTTTAACGTTTTATTGCCTGGATAGGAATTTTCGAGAATATACTTGAGCATTACTTTTGGGTAAAAAAATCATCGGATCGTCAAATAGGCACGTCAATGTATATTATAGATTTTTTTTCAGATTTGTCAATTCCCGATAACGGACGGTTGTTCCCAGGGGGTCTGTTTGAGGGTAGCATTTATAGGGTTAAACTTATAACGATAAGGTGCAACCCGTTCAGATCGAATCGATACATAACTTTGTACATACGTGAGGGAATAAGGTAACCTTTGGAGAAAAGACATTGAAATTATTTGTCCTGTCAGGAATTATGTGTATTGTTGTCATGAAATCTATATATAGGACTTAGCGTGCCAATTCCAAGGAATTCACGACAACGAGTCCTACTAACTATAAATTATCACTGTTAATTGCAAACTGAACTAACTTGCCCTTGGTAAGAATTTAACAGTTTGGCTCTATTGACAAAGCATTCTGGGTAAATAGGATTTCAGACTAATTAGTTCTCATTATCCTCGCCTGCGATAGTCCGAAGTTTATAACTCGAACGAGATTAAATAATTTTTATGAAAAGTGGAAACAAGCAAGGCGACATAAGTAATTTTAGGGTACTTGCCTTGAGCCACCAAAATTTTCACAAAAGTAACGATGATAATATCGTTTCGCGCTATCTAAATCCCTGTTTGCTAATTGACGATAGAAGATGCTTTAAACGATACGAAACAAGAGATCCTCGGACGCTGATTAGAATGATAAGAAGAAAAAGCAAGATAAATCCGGATAAATATTGAAGTATCTCTTTGACAAAATCAAATAGGATACGAAGAGAAATTTGATACTTTAGAGAATCGAGGTTAATTTCTCTTTGATTAAATCGAAAATAATGAAAATTACGTTTCCAGCTGCGAGTGACGTTTTTTTCGAAGTTTTAATATTTTTATGCAAATCAATATCTTTTGTTTTTTTTTTAATTGACGTGTTATTCTCGGCATTTACAGACAGCATGTAATTATACCGGGTGTTTCACCTAACTTAACCACCTTAAATATCTCGGTAATTATCGACGTCACAAAAAAATATTTCAGACTAAAGTTGTACGGTGCGAAGGGAGTGATCAAATGCGACCAATTTTTTTTATTTCGGTGGAGGCGCTGATGCACAGTGAAGGTCACCTCCATTTTTTTAAATGGTACGGTACATTTTTTTTCAACCATCTTGTAGAGCGTCGCAAACTGCATAAAAAACATTCGGGGGTCAAATTCGTTCAAGGTCATTCAAGGTCAGCATCGATGATACAAATCTAAATATCGCGGATCGGATTGATAGTCTGACATTTGATATTTTCAAATTTATATTTTATTTCTGCTTTTCTGGAAGAAATATTAACTATGCTGCTTGAAGATCTAACCTTGTGGGATCGGCAAAACCTCTGGTATCAACATGATGGTTGTCCAGCTCATTTTGCACGGATAGCTCGCAATGTTGTCGACCGAAAATTTGGTAATAAGCAGATTAGCCGAGGATCACGAATAGGCTGGCCTGCTAGATCACCGGACTTAAATCCACTCGATTTTTCTTTATGGGGGACATTGAAGATGACAACCAAATATTTGGTAGTGATCCGAGATATTTAGATTTGTATCATCGATACTGACCTTGAATGACCTTGAACGACTTTGACCCCCTAATCTTTTTTATACGACTTGAGGTGCTCCACAAGATGGTTGAAAAAAAAATGTACCATTCTATTTAAAAAAGTGACGGTGACCTTCACTGTGCATCGACGTCTCCACCGAAATAAAAAAAAATTTATTGCATTTGAAGGCCCCCTCCACACCGTACAACTTTTGTCTGGAACATTTTTTTCTGACGTCGATAATTACCGAGATATTTAAGGTAGTCAAGTTAGGTGAAACACCCGGTATACAAGCCAGGTAAGTATTAACTAGCTTCCTCTGGTTTAAAGCAGCCAGCACCGCCGGTTCTATATACGTCCAGGTAAAAACGCTGAATCAAACTTCAATGTTCTTGATCGTAACGCGCATCGCTATAGCCAGATCGTAGAATCTTCCGAATCGGATTATTGACGATCTATGGATCCTGGATCGATCTGGTTTTCGAAACTGGATTATTAACCGGCTAACAAATTCTTTAAGCGTTATAATCACAGAAAGGGGACAATTATGGACTCTAAACTGACATGTAAATCCTTGAGTGATGGACTGCTATCGTTATCTGTAATGCAAAGATAAGGAGACCACTAGTCAATTTTGCCATACGTGAAAACGGTTTATGAAGAATTCCATAAATATTTTCTAAATTATTAATTCTTCAAGAAATTATAATGGTAACGCATCGTGATATTGTAGATAATAATAGGACGCGTCATTCCCGGTAATATTCTAGTAACGTTGCGTAACGATGTATAGCGCCATAATAATGGGCATAGAAGTATGGGAATTATGACGTAAGACCCACAGTGTTCAGTGTTCATCACTATTAATACTGTCTGCTATAATAAATAAATAAAAATTCGTATTTTCGCATATATAATCAGGGGTTCTTATAAAACAAAAAATTTCAAAACCGATATAACACGATTTTACTTACGTACTGAGTAATCTCTGTTCGTCTCTTTTTTCTTACAAATGCTGGAGGCGGAGTTTCTTATCACGTATTTCTTATACTTTTGCTCGAAACAACGCTGTCAAACGGAGTAAACAGTCTGTCAGCGTTCGCCGTGGTGCATAGACGCAGCAGTTCTTACTTATCCGACATTTCTTGTTTCTCTCGTTACACTCGATCTGTACGGAATTGCAACTAGTTTCTCTCTCTCTCTCTCTCTCTCTCTCTCTCTCTCTCTCTCTCTCTCTCTCTCTCTTCCTCCCTTCCTCCCGCCATCTCACTCTTTCTCACTCCCGGTGTCATTCTTACCTCGCTACGTGCACGAGTCACGCAGCTACATTGGAAGTCATGCGATGCATTTGACAGTGTCCGTTTTGATCGCGCGCGATATCAGTAGCAGCGACTGATTGGCAATCAGAGACAAGAGCAAGCAAGTGATATAAAAATTATAAAAATCTTTAGACAGGAGCAACAATCCAGCAACGATGGACGATCATGATTACAAGTAAAGAATTTTTTTTTATTTTTCCATATTTTAAAAAAGTCGATAAATAAAATTTCGAAGGATTGTTAAAAAAAATATTTCTATAAAAATTCCATTTACGTCAAATCTCAGGTATCCTTTCGATAAAACTCCATCGGAGCCGTGAACTCTCGGGCTCATGACTGATTAGAGATAACAATTGGCGGTTAATCTCGTTTTTTCTAGCATTTCAATATCACTCATTATCGTTACGTTGTACTGCTAGCGTCTGGTAAATTTTACCAACTGCACTGAGTCTACTCATTGTCAGTGATTTCTTGTAGATCTTCGCGCTAACTAAGAAATTAGTAAATACGTTGACACGAAGCTTATCGAGTCATAGAACTGGTAAACCCCTTTGGGCACGTGCTTATACGAAACTGGGTTAAGTCTCGCAAGTGCTGCTGGATACAGGGAGAAGTGGTTGAACGATGAAAAAAAAATCTGAGGATGAAAGCTGATTAGCTGGTCGTTCCTTTAAAAAGATGAACGTTTCCCTCTAACGACACACTAGACTCGAATATAACAGGAAGGTACGACATATATTAAGTATACTAGGATGTGGGAAAATTCTTAAGAAATTCTTGACTAAACGAAATCACTTAGCCACAAGCCTGTCTCTTCAGACGTGGGAATAACGCGTGAATGTTGTATCAGTTGGGATTATTTGTTCTTCGTATACAATTTTTATTTAACCGATTATACGAATTATTCCTTCTCCCTGCGGGGAACTGTTCTTCCTTACGTAAGTTCCCGTCCTTAGTCTAGCAACGTACGAGCGCGAAGAGTATTTTCAACGTGACGTCATTCACATGGGGAACCGGTTTGTGTTTTTATATAATATATGGAATATGAATGTCGGATATGGGCGCAATGAATTTGCGATTAAATCTGTTACACGAGTTCTCAAGGAATAATAAAAATGTATTACCATTTATAACGCACTCTCTGACAGCTTACACTTTCTTAGTTTAAGACGGCCGAGGGGGGGGG